AGCCCAGCCTGCGCCCTCTCGCAGTTCGAGAGCCCTCAGGGGATGTCTAACTGATGGCTTAGGCCCGCTCCCCGTGAACCTAAGCCGGCAGTTGGACATCCTTAGCACTGCCACGGAGGCGGGAGAGGCTCCCGCCACTACCACTGCGCTCACCAGCTGTGAGCCTGGCTCAGAGCTTCTGGCTGAGCAGCGCTCCCACTGTGAGAGTGCACTGACCACCAGGGGGCAGCTCCTGCCTTGAGCATATGCCCCTGGTGGTCAGTGTGCATCATAGTGACAGGTTGTTCTGCCTTTGGGTCGATTTGCATATTAGTCTTTTATTATATAGGATTTATTTGTTTTTGTTGTTTTCGAGTTACCAGATGGGGGAGCCATTGCCTCCCACTGCCTCTTCCCCCAATATAAAAGAGGCTGTTTCCAGATGTCACTCTATTCAGCTGCCTGCCACTTCTTGAATCCTCCCAAAGAGTGGCCCTGGTTTGCCATACTTTAGGTATCACTCTGAACTTTAGTTTACTAGAGGATTTAATTAATGAGATTAAACCAACAAGATCTCCCTAATCTTAAGGCCTTTAGTCATGTAGTTGTCTTTTATATTTTCTATACCTTTTTTGTATGTGCTATGATGTTATATGGATTTAGTATGCACTGAATTAATACTGTTTGGTTCTTGCTATTAGAGAGATTTATGTAATAAAGTGTCCCCATCCTAGACCAAATTATGATCTATATGACCATAGAGATAACTCCGTGTTGAAATTTTTGTTTCTGTGAAAACTGAGTACCTAGCTAGGCAAAACCACATTTTGCATATGCGATTTCTGAAAGAGGGGATAACTATATAGCAGTAATCCAGATTTTTAAACTGCTCTATTGAGATATAACTTTCTAAAATATGTTTTTATTTATTTCAGAGAGGAAGAAAGAGGGAGAGAGAATCCTTGATCAGCTGCCACCTACATGCTCCCCACTGGGGATTGTGCCCACAACCTGGGCATGTGCCCAGACTGGTATTGGAACCATGACTTCCTGGTTCATGGGTCGACACTCAATCACTGAGTCACACTGGCTGGGCAAGATATAGTTTAAAAGTGCATTGTTCTGTGGTTTTTAGTATATTCACAAAGTTGTGTAATAGCCACTAGTATCAAATTCTAGAATATTTACATCACCCCAAAAAGAAACCTCATATCCATTCAGTAGTCATGCCTCATCCTTCTCTCCCTCCAGCCCCTGGAAACCACTAATCTGTTTTCTGTGTCAGTGCATTTGCCTATTCTGGATATTTTATATAAATGGAATCATGCAATATGTGGTCTTTTGTAGTAGCTTATTTCATTTAGCTTTATGTTTTCAAGGTTCTTCATAGTGTAGCATGTATCCATTGTATAGATGAACCACAGTTTATTTATCCATTCATTAGTTGATGGACATATGGAAGTAATCTAGATTTAGCAATCTTTGTCATTAGATACGGGAAAAAAGTAAAAATATTTTTATTTTATTTCAGTTAATCCTCCTGAGGATTTTGAGATAGTGGATCCTGGATATTTAGGTTATCTCTATTTGCAATGGCAACCTCCACTGTTTCTGGATAATTGTGAGGAACACACAGTAGAATATGAATTAAAATACCGAAACATTGATAGTGAAAACTGGAGGGTAAGTAAAGCATGCATTTGTGATATCAGAGCAATTATTAGGAGTTTTCTTATGATTCCTGATGTCAGTATCTACTCTAATTCCTGTATCTCAATAGCTATTACTAAGATACTAGAGGCCTGGTGCATGACATTTGTGCACTGGGGGGGGTCCCTCAGCCTGGGACCCCTTGGGGGATGTCTGTCTGGCAGTTGGACATCCCCCAAAGGGTCCTTAGCTCTGCCACGGAGGCAGGAGAGCCTCCCACCACTGCCGCTGCACTTGCCAGCCATGAGCCTGGCTTCTGGTTAAACAGCAACCCCCCTGTGGGAGCGCACTGACCACCAGGGGCAGCTCCTGCATTGAGTGGGAGTGCCACTGCTGGTCACCTGCCATGTTTCACACCGCCCCCTGGTAGTCAGTGTGTCATAGTGACCAGTCATTTCCCCATTCGGTTGATTTGCATATTAGCCTTTTATTATATAAAATAATAAGCCACTGTGGCTGCTGCTCTCTACTGTGCTTCTTGCCACATCTATTTTCACCCCATCCAGTATTAAGACTACCATTGGAAGTATATAGAAAAATACTTGGTCCCATGGAATATGAACTTGAAGAGTACTTATATATTTTATCATATTTCATAGTTACTTATATACCTGTATAAGGGTCTTATATATGCTACTCAACTGTGAGATTTTACTCTGTGGGAATCAAGCCTTATCTCTGTACTTACCCCACAGAACATAACATGGTTATTTACATATATTGTAGTAAGTTGAAGTATTAACTATTTACATAGTCAACAAGCATGTTCATTTAAAGATATCTGTTGTACAAGGAATTCTGTTACCTTCCTAATTCAGCCAGGTAGTTTCAAGGGGCAATTCAAATCATTTACTGGGCAACATTTTGTGCCAGGCACTCTGCTAGGTATCAGGAATACAAGGATTTATGATATATGATTTTAGCCTAGGAGCTCACAATTTGTCTTGCTTTCTCCAGTTACCCCCAAGATTTTATTTTATATTATTTCTGAAGAATTCACATAGCATTTGAAAGGTACAAATCATTTGCCATGTAATATGTATATAGTATGTGAAAAGTGTCTGTTGATTTCAAGTTGGTTAAAGCTCAAATCCTGCCATAGAGCCTTTTTTTCTCTTCCAGATTTTTTTTGGTTTGTTTTTTGAATGAGATATTAAGATTCAAATGATCTCATCAAATAACATAATATACTGAAGTGAGTTCTGCCAGAAATATAATGGAGAAATTGTATCACATAATCATGATGAATTTTCTAGATATTGAAACTTCTCAGGGTATTAATGACTTATTAGCCATATTAATGTAGCTCATGATGCCATCACTGTTTCTAAGCTTGACTTTGTCTCATCTTTTTATCAGACCATCATCACTAAGAATCTCCTTTACAAAGACGGGTTTGATCTTAACAAAGGCGTTGAAGCAAAGATACATACAGTTCTACAAGGGCAATGTACAAATGGATCTGAAGTTCAGAGTTCATGGTCAGAAGCTAGTTATTGGACATCACCTCAAGGTTAAAACAAAGCTCTCCTTTCATTTTTAATATTGTCAGAACAATCCACATAGGGAAAAAGTCCTTTAACTCTTATACATGAGATTGCATGTACAGTTGAGAGTGTGGCACAAAATAGAATCCTTCTTAGGAGTGGGTGATTGGCCTTTTTAAATTTTTTATATTAGCAAACACATTTGGCAAAACCTACATCTTATTAGGCTAATATAGTTCCCAGTTTTGGGGTAATATTAATAAACATGCATGTGAGCATTTGCCAAATGTGTATATGCTTAGTTCTTGTGTATATGCTTGTAATAGTACTTACACTAGTAAATAAGCCCTCAAAGGTTTTTGATTTTGCAAGCCCCTTTGACAGTGAAGTAATTTCCAACAACTTCCTTTTGAAATATTCTTTTTTTAAAAAAACTGATGTATTCATACATTTTTATTTAATTTTTTCAAATGAACTAATTATACATTTGACAAATTACAATGATAATTTCTGAGTGCAGCAAAAAAAGTTTTCTTGTGAGAATCACTATAAAGTTATAATGTTGATACATTTCTTTTAATGTGAAAAGGCATAAAATTTCCTTTATAGACGACTTGTCAAATGCATCTATAATCCCTTAAGATAAGTATGATTCATTTGAGAAAATGAGCCAGATCAAATGCATCATTAAGAAAAAAACATGCATACTAAACTATGAAGTCTACTGAGAACAAAAACCATTATTTTTTAGAGGCCCAGTGCACAAAATTTGTGCATGTGTAGGGTCCCTAGGCCTAGCCAGTGATCAGGGATGATCAGGTTCCCCCACCTCCCTGCCTCCCTGCCTCCTCCTTCCCTTGCCACCTGTGCACTGCCACCATACTGTCCCCCCCTGCCTCCCTGCCTCCTCCTTTCCTTGCCACCCATCCACACACTGCCACCTCACAGTTCCCCTTGCCTCCCTGCCTCCCTGCCTCCTTTTTCCCTCCCTCCCTCAGTGCCCTGCCGCCACTGCTGGTCACCTGCCATGTCAGTGCCCATCATAGTGAGCAATCAAACTCCCCTTCTCCCAATCAAACTCCTGAGGGGACACTTTGCATATTAGCCTTTTATATATGTAGACTAGAGGCCTGGTGCACAAAGCAACATTTTGTGCCAGGCACTCTGCTAGGTATCAGGAATACAAGGATTTATGATATATGATTTTAGCCTAGGAGCTCACAATTTGTCTTGCTTTCTCCAGTTACCCCCAAGATTTTATTTTATATTATTTCTGAAGAATTCACATAGCATTTGAAAGGTACAAATCATTTGCCATGTAATATGTATATAGTATGTGAAAAGTGTCTGTTGATTTCAAGTTGGTTAAAGCTCAAATCCTGCCATAGAGCCTTTTTTTCTCTTCCAGATTTTTTTTGGTTTGTTTTTTGAATGAGATATTAAGATTCAAATGATCTCATCAAATAACATAATATACTGAAGTGAGTTCTGCCAGAAATATAATGGAGAAATTGTATCACATAATCATGATGAATTTTCTAGATATTGAAACTTCTCAGGGTATTAATGACTTATTAGCCATATTAATGTAGCTCATGATGCCATCACTGTTTCTAAGCTTGACTTTGTCTCATCTTTTTATCAGACCATCATCACTAAGAATCTCCTTTACAAAGACGGGTTTGATCTTAACAAAGGCGTTGAAGCAAAGATACATACAGTTCTACAAGGGCAATGTACAAATGGATCTGAAGTTCAGAGTTCATGGTCAGAAGCTAGTTATTGGACATCACCTCAAGGTTAAAACAAAGCTCTCCTTTCATTTTTAATATTGTCAGAACAATCCACATAGGGAAAAAGTCCTTTAACTCTTATACATGAGATTGCATGTACAGTTGAGAGTGTGGCACAAAATAGAATCCTTCTTAGGAGTGGGTGATTGGCCTTTTTAAATTTTTTATATTAGCAAACACATTTGGCAAAACCTACATCTTATTAGGCTAATATAGTTCCCAGTTTTGGGGTAATATTAATAAACATGCATGTGAGCATTTGCCAAATGTGTATATGCTTAGTTCTTGTGTATATGCTTGTAATAGTACTTACACTAGTAAATAAGCCCTCAAAGGTTTTTGATTTTGCAAGCCCCTTTGACAGTGAAGTAATTTCCAACAACTTCCTTTTGAAATATTCTTTTTTTAAAAAAACTGATGTATTCATACATTTTTATTTAATTTTTTCAAATGAACTAATTATACATTTGACAAATTACAATGATAATTTCTGAGTGCAGCAAAAAAAGTTTTCTTGTGAGAATCACTATAAAGTTATAATGTTGATACATTTCTTTTCATGTGAAAAGGCATAAAATTTCCTTTATAGACAACTTATCATTTATCCATCATGTAATGTCAAATGCACCTATAATCCCTTAAAATAAGTATGATTCTTTTGAGGAAAAAGAACCAGATCAAATGCATCATTAAGGAAAAACATGCATACTGAACTATGAAGTCTACTGAGGACAAAGGCCATTATTTTTTAATTCCCCAATTCCTGATGGAGTTCTCAGAATATAGTTTCTCAGTTGATGAGTAGCAAATTGATTTATTGGTTAAATTAGCAACTATGGAGTTATATATGTCAGTTATACTGAGAACAGTATAAAATAAATGGATAATTCACCAGAAACTGGCTTCTAGATTTTAATTTTAGTGACCTTGAAGTAACATAATGTAGTACCAAATGTTTAAACACCCATTATAATTGCTAACCTGTGAAGTCAGCATTATTTATATCTGATCAGCTATCCAAGATTTTTCTATTTTTCTTTTGAAAAAGGCAGTAAAAAATCCCAGAGAATAAGGGGGAGACTACTAATTAAAGGTCATGTCTAGCACCATAAAAGTAAATCCAACCAGGAACTGGAGCATGATGTCAGCGAAGACGGTGCGAAGGGCCCCTTTGAAATATTCTTGATTATGCTGATTGCTAAATGAAATGGAGAGGTCAAAGGAAATGAAAAAAATTATACAGTGATTTCCCGAATGATTCATCACTGTGCCTTTCAAGCATTCACAGTTCATTTATTCCTTAGGAAATCTGGAAACTAAAATTCAGGATATGAATTGTATATATTACAACTGGCAATATTTACTGTGCTCTTGGAAACTTGGCATGGATGTCAGCTTTGATACCAATTACTACTTGTTTTACTGGTAAGTGTTTTTATAATAAGAATTCCATATTGGGAAAATATCATTTAAGTTAATCCATTGTATGAGTAACTGTATTTTTACTTAATTAAATTCATTTTATTTTTCAGTGCTGTGTTTATTAAGTGTGTTTTACAATTATTTGGGTTTCATTTATTTTTTTGATATATTTTTATTAATTTCAGAGAGGGAGAGGGAGAGAGAGAGATAGAAACATCAATGGTGAGAGAGAATCATTGATCGGCTGCCTCCTGCATGCTCTCTACTGGAGATCAAGCATGCAACCTGGGCATGTGCTCCCGCCCCCGACTGGGATTTGAACCCTGACCTCCTTGTTCATAGGTTGACATTCAACCACTGAGCCACACCAGCTGGGCTGTTTGGGGTTTTAAATGGGAGTAAGTAGGTTTAGGCTGTGGCTTCTGGAAGGCACTGTATGGGTGATACAACGAACGCAATCACTTTCTATAGTAGATTAAATTTTGTATTCTTGAGATAGATGGAGTTATAATCTAAACAAATTGACATTTTTTATATTCTTGCTTTTTGAAAAAGCAAGTACCTATTAAGACTGGATTCTTTTTCTGACTTTTTCATCTTTGATAACTATTACTGAGACTTTGAAACTTAGAGCCAGATTGAATCTTCTATCTCCTTCATTCCTTAGTTGTTTCATGGTAACACTGATCATGTCCTGAAACTCCTTTGCAAGGTGATATATCTCTCTTTTACTTCCTGTCTCTTCTGTAAGAACACTACTTTAGGCTCACCTCATCCCAAACCTGCATGATTGCCATAGCACCCCAAATGCCAATCTCTCCCTTTCCCATTCATTCTGCACATTGTAGCCAAATTTATTTTCCTATACTGCACTATGCATATGCCACTCTTTTGCTCCAGTGGCTACTCATTGCCTCCAGGATAAAATCTAAACTGCCATTCAAGTCTCTGCCTCACTGTGTCACTGCCTTTCCAAAGTTACCTTCTGCTATCACCATTATGAATGTTCCTCTCCATTTAGACCATCGCTACATATTTTCCCTCACACATGGTTATGCTATTTAAAAAAACATTTATTGTTAAAAGTATTACATATGTCCCCTTTTATCTCCCATTGGCCAGAGCCTGCTCCCCTCCTCCCCCGATCTTATACAAATGTCTAAACATTTTTGCTTAATTTTATGAGTTAGCTGACTTATTTCAATGTCAATGTTTTGAAAAGATTAGAAGTAGAATATTCAGGACATGTTGCTTTTTTAGAAAATTGTGTTTAATATGAGATAGAAGAATAGTCACTTTCTAATATTAAGTATCTTTTTTTCTTGATTTTTAAAATATATATTTATGTTGAGAGTATTACAGGTGTCCACCCTTTCCTCCATTCCCCTCCTCCACCCCATCCCACCCTGCCCCAGGCCTTCACCACCCTATTGTCTGTGCCCATGGGTAATGTATATATGCATACAAGTTCTTTGGATGATCTCCTCCCAACCAACCGTCATCACCTGATGTTATGCTCCTTCATACCTTGTGTGCATTGCTATCTGGAATGCCCTCTGGCTCTCTCTTTTATAAACTTAAAAAAAAATCTTTATTGTTGAATTTTTTAAAAATATATTTTTATTAATTTCAGAGAGGAAGGGGGAGAGAGAGATAGAAACATCAATGAGAGAGAATCATTGATTGGCTGCCTCCTGCATGCCCCTCACTGGGGATCAAGCCTGCAACCCAGGCATATGCCCTGACCAGGAATTGAACCCTGGCTGAGAATCAAACTGTGACCTCCTGGTTCATAGGTTGACGCTCAACCGCTGAGCCACACCGGCCAAGCTCTGGCTTTTCTGAGGTTTATCTCTCTCTCTCAATCCTCACCTGAGGATATTTTTTTCATTGATTTTTAGGGAGAGTGGAAGAGAGAGAAAGAAAGAGAGAAACATTGATGTGAGAGAAACACACATCAATTGTTATTATTAAAAATAACAATATTTTGTAAATCTGCTTACTTCAAATGTAAATTCTCCAGTACAATATTAAAAAGGAAGTATCATGCTGCAAATGATAAAATTTCATCCTTTTTTATTGCTGAGTAATATTTATATATATCACATCTTTATCCATTCATCTATTGATAGATGCCTAGGTTGCTTCCAAAGCTTGTCTATTGTAAATAATGCTTCAATGAACATAGGGTGCAGATATCTTTTCAAATTAGTGTTTCCATTTTCTTTGTATAAATATCCAGAAGTGCAAATTGGTGGCTCATATGGTAGTTCTAGTTTTAATTTTTTGAAGAACCTCCATAATGTTTTCCATATTGTCTGCACCAATTTACAATCTCACCAACAGTGCATGAAGGTTGCCAGAGAAGAAGGGGCTTGGAGAATGGGTGAAAAAAGTGAAGGGGAAAAAGAGGTACAAACTTCCAGCTATAAAATAAATAAGCCACAGAAATCTAGTGCACCGTACAGGGAATATAGTCAATAATTGTAATAACTTTGCATGGTGACAGACGGTTACTAGACTTATTGTGATTATTGTTTAGTAAGGTATACAAATGTTGAATCTATGTTGTACGTCTGAAACTAAGATAATATTATAAACCAACTATAATAATAAAAAAGGCAGTATAATCCAGAATTATATAAATTCCTGGTTTTCTTAATAAGAATCTTACTCTTTGATTCACAAATCCTGATGGTGAGTCAACATAAACTTGCGTTATCTTTGACATTTTGTAAAGGTTCCCATCAGATTGTAAGCTCCATGAAATCATGGACTATGTCTGCTTTCCTTACTATGGAATCCTTAGCATTTATCATAGGATCTGGTACATAGTTGGTACTCAATAAACATTGCATGTTATTAAGTGATTTTTAATTCACTTAGTATCTCAAGATAATTGAAAATTGGGCACCATAGTATCAGAAGATATCAGTAAAACAATTCTTACAAAACTTCCCTTTACAGGTATGAGGGCTTGGACCATGCATTACAGTGTTCTGATTACATTGAGGATAATGGGAAAAATATTGGATGCAGGTTTTCCTATTTGGAGGAACCAGACTATAAAGATTTCTACATCTGTGTTAATGGATCATCAAAATCCCAGCTTATCAGACCCAGCTATTTCATTTTTCAGCTTCAAAATATAGGTGACGTAAACAAACAACTTCAAAATGTTTCTAGTTTAAGCCATTTACAACCACGTGGAAGAGAAGAGATAGACAGAGAGAGAGAGAGAGAGAGATAGAGATGATAGAGATATAGAGATGATGGAGATAGAGATATAAAGATATATACCTACTAAAATGCAAAGCCAGAAAAATGAGGGCCAACAGAGCATACAAGGACACTCTTATTAAATATAAAAGTATAGAAGATAAGTAATTGAATGAAGGGTAAAGTGTCATTTTCATTTAGAACTCACAATCTACTACCCAGCTTCAAAGGGTTGATCTGTTATACAGTATTATTGTCTAGTGTTAGTGATGGAGTAATTATGGAATTACTTAGTTTCAGGTCTCAATAAGCATATATTTGGATATTTTCTGAGTCTGAGTTCTTATCTTTAACAGTTACAACAATAACAGGTTCTAGAGTCAGCCACACCGTGGTCTGAATCTTGGATTTACCACTTTTTAGCTATATGGCCTTGGGCAAGATACTTTTAACATCTATTTAATTTCCTCATCAGTAAAATGAGGATAATAAAAGATTACCTCATAGGTTTATTGTGAAATATGAATGAATTTATGGTATAACCTCCCTGGTTCAGTGCCTAAGACATCATAAACTCTAAGTAAATTAGCTATGGTTGTGTTGTTTCTATGATGATTGTAGTAGTTGTTTCTAATGGTGCTGTAGGGGATAAAAATTTTTCCTCTACCATTCTAGGTTCTTTAACTGGTCTAATAATTAAATTGCTATAAGACAGATTTACAGGAAAAAACAAATTTAATTACATATGTATGAGAGCCTCACATAGATATGAGAGGCCCAAAGATAATAAGGCAATTGAGGCTTATATGCTGTCCTGAGCTAAGGAGAAGGGGGTAGAGGTCTGGGGCTTCAAAAGGAAGGAAAACAATTCACAGGAAGATGGGAAGAGTAAAGGTTTGGTAAATAAATGTTTGCAATTCCATACAGAGACAGTGGGACACAGAAAGGACTTAGAACAAATAATCCCTGCCAGTTTCCCCCAGCTCACCATGCCTGGCCCATACTCTTTTTCTTTTTTTTTAATTTTTATTTGGTGCCCTTGACCAGAATCGAACCTGGGACCCTTCAGTCCGCAGGCTGACGCTCTATCCACTGAGCCAAACCAGCCAGGGCTGGCCCATACTCTTTGTAGTTATCTCTGGTGATAGCTCTCTTCCTGGACCAGGCCATCTACTTAAATTCTCTTTTAAAAAGTAAAAGAAATAAAACTGTTCCTGAGTCTTTTGGACCTTGATTGCCTTCAGCTCAGAACAACCCACGTGTCGAAGTGGCACATTTTGGAGCGATGTATTCTACTTTCTTTCACTACAAAATGAAAAAAAAATGACTGTAATGATTAGGCTCTTCTAACTTTTCTCTTGGGCTTTAATATTTGTCAATATGTGACTCACCAAAAATTAGTTTCCAAAATAATCAAGATGTATTAATAGCCCAAACTTGGTTGGCAAGCAACTTTGATTTTCATTCATATTATAGAGAATAGTCTTGAGCCACATGATTTATCCTGAAGGCTTAGGTTACTAGGTTTGATACCATTGTAATTAGCTAGTTATTAATAATAGGAAGAAGCAAAAGGAGGCCATTCATTATAAGCATGGCCACCTGGGCAGCTTCAACAGGAAGCTGTAACTTTACACTCCCCAGGTGGGCCGCGGCAGGTATTGGCTCAATGAGTTGGGATGATGTAAGGTACTTGCTTCCAGTCAAACCTGGGGACAAAGATCAATGACTAGAGGAGAAGGTGGAGCCAATGCAAGCCCGCAAAACTTTGGAGAAACATAATCCCAAAACAAAAGAGTTCATGCTCTTGGCTCTTGGTGCTCTTGGCAGCCTTGGCTCTCTTGCTCCTCTGGCTTTGCTCTTACCCATGTTTCTTCCATAGCCATGTGGCCTTGCAGACCCCACATACAATGGACTGATAGACTGCAGTTCAGAACACAAACTAACCCAGCCTGATGCTGGGTTAGACACTGCAAATATGGAATGGAAACTCTGAGCAATGGCTTTAATTCTAGCCCTGCTAAAGGCTCAGCTGGACTTTTTCCTTGGCAGGACAGAGAGAAATGGGACCTTGTAAAAGCAGGGATTTAACTCCACACAAATAAATGTCACTCATTCTACCATGTGAGGCTCAGGAAATTCTTTTTCTTGTGACATTGCAAGAAACCCACATACCCCTGGCAACAGATAGGGACAGGGAGCGCTCCCCTCAATGACAGGTTTCCTTTGCTTTAATAAGGGCTACTACTTAACTTCAGTAACCTCCATGTTGAAATGGTTTCCTTTTGCTTTTCAGTTAAACCTTTGCCACCAGACTATCTTAATATTGTTGTGAAGAAGTCAGAGGATATTAACCTGGAATGGAACATACCTGAAGGACCCATTCCAGCAAATTGTTTCATTTATGAAATTAAGTTCACAGAAGATAATACGACCTGGATGGTATGTACATTATATTTATTTGGGAAAATCATAAATATAGCCTTTTAAATAAAATAGCAAGCATGAAAACCAATCAATTGATATCCATGAGGAATAAATGTGACATTTATCTTATTTTAATTTCCAAAAATTCAAATCATCTAGTAGACAAAAGAAAGACCTTTGCTGTCTGAAAGTATAATCAATCATACCAATTTCAAAGCTACATAGGACCTTAGATATAATCCAGTCACTTATTTTCAATAATGTGTGAATAAATTAAAGTTGCCAAGTACATGAAAAAGATGGATTATAAAGAGATCTCAGGAAAGATGAAAGAAAGAAAGAAAGAAAGAAAGAAAGAAAGAAAGAAAGAAAGAAAGAAAGAAAGAAAGAAAGAAAGAAAGAAAGAAGGAAAGGAAGAAAGAAAGGAAGAAAGAAAGAAAAAAGAAAGAAAGAAACTCCTTCTTGAGGAATAGCCATCAGGTCAAAATTAGAGTTTGGTTGTGCTACCTGAGAATTGCTTGTAGCAAGGAAGAGAGACTAACTGGGGAAGTAGGCAATGTTTGCAAGACCGATTACCCTCCAGCATCAACAATGTGGTGATGATGCCTTTAGCCCCACATTGTTGTATGTTAATTTTATTCATTGGTTTCCAATTTAAAGGATGGTGGAGATTAGGCGAGGCATTAGTTCTAATCAATTTATTTAATAAACATGAGAAAACCGTTGTTGAATTGATTTACAAGTCCCAAGGAAGTGAATTGACTTACAGTCAAATTACACAGCTAGAACTAAAATCCAGATCTTATTCCCAGTCCACTTTAACCAGAGAAAAAGTTACAATAAAAGCAAAGCTGTTATTTTGGATGAGAAACACTCTTCAGCTCTTTGAAATGTAAAATTAAAGTAATCGCTTCAGTAATTTTTTTTTTCCTTTGAGATCATCCAGCTTTGTGTTCTCATATCTGCAAGGGTAGTTTCATGCCAAGCCCTGAGCACTGCTACACTGGTCTTATAGCAGTTAACCAAAATAAGAATAAGGGGGGGGGGAGTTTCATGTGTATGAATTTTATAGTTTCCATAGAAACAACATTCACATGATGGCTGTCTTTTTCTAATTCAGTGTATGTAGCATTTTCCAGTTCATGGAATCTGGGAAATTTGACACTAATCCAAATACTGGGTGTTATAAACACCAAAGCTACCTAGCAATTTTGCCCTGTCACACATGCCCTTTATTGCATGTGATCCATTATTACTGTAGGAAAAAAATTGAAATATAGATAAGGAAGGGAAGAAAAAAAAAGGAACCCACCTAATCACTGTTAGGATTTTGGTATATACATTTGTAGTCATTTGATGCATATATCTTATGTAACAAAACCCACTTTGAAATCAACAAAACAAATGGGATCGGTCTAGCTGCAATTAGATCAAATAATGCAATCTTATTTTTTCCTTGGCTTTTAGGCTACCACATTTGAAAATCAAATGTATGTCACAAGAACATCAAATGACAGCCAAGAAATATGCTTTTTAGTGAGAAGCAAAATGAATGTTTATTGCACAGACGATGGAATTTGGAGTGAATGGAGTGAAATAGAATGCTGGAAAGGTATGAGATAAAAGAATAGCAACTAAATAACTGGAGCACTTTGCTGGTAAAATTAATTTTCTTTCAGTGTATTTTGTAATTATGGAAATCAAAAGGCTCTTTCATATAGCCTATAATCGGAGAAGATAAATTAGCAAGCACCTCAATCGAACATAGATTTATGGAAAATTTAATATTCAGTTTTAACTAGGAATAATTTGACTAGTTTAATTAAGAACCTTGTTATATTTCTATTATCAACATTCTTGTGTTTCTGCTGGTCAATAAAAGAACAAACTAGTTCTTTTTGGGGGGAGCCTATATAGTATTAACAATATATTCCTATGCTTTCAATTTTTAAAAAAATATATATTTTATTGATTTTTTTTTTACAGAGAGGAAGGGAGAGGGATAGAAAGTTCATTGATGTGACAGAGACATATTGATTGGTTGCCTCCTGCATGTGCCCCAACCAGGGCCAAGGATCATGCCTGCAATCAAGGTATGTGCCTTTGACCCAAATGAAACCCAGGACCCTTCAGTCCGCAGGCTGACGCTCTATCCATTGAGCCAAACCAGTTAGGGCTGCTTTCAATTTTTAAGAGAACAGAAATCTTAAAACAAGGATATGTCAGCATATACTTGTTTTTGAGTGTCTAGTACTGTGTCTAATGAATATTTTTCTAATTAATATGTCATCATTAGTAAAATACATATTCCATTCCCTTCCAACACTGATTTAAAGTGACGTGATAAAATATATATTTTGAAATAGAAATATAGACTAAAAAAGCCTTGAGAATAAGGCAAAATATCATAAATTAACTAACATTGCTCTTTCAGATATATAGGTATATAAATATATATACAGATATAGATACAAACAAATACTGGCATTTCTATCATTCATCTCCTTTCATGTCATTCATTATACTAAAATTTCTGTTTGACTACTTATATTTATATCTATTAATATATTGCTATCATTGTTCTCTTTCACTTAGCAAATATTTATTAAGCACACTTTTCAGGCATGAGAGATACAGCAATAAAATAATCCCTGTCCTCATGAAATTTATATTTTATTCCCAAGTTGAGTAGAGATAAGAAACAAAGAATCCAAATATATCGCATAATCACTAAGGGCCATGGAGAAAAAATAGAGAGAGGGAGAACTCAATTAACCAAGAGATAATATGAAATCAGAATGAGCCTTACTGGTTCTACTTTTTTCTTTTTGTCACTGCTATAAAAAATCTGGGGACTCTATGGGAATGACATTGAGAAAGTTATGTCCTAAATATCTTGTCATTTGTCAATTAATAGTTTATGGTGAGTTTTTAGACATATCCTCAAAATATACATCTTTTTATGTATTTTACATATAGTTTTAACCATGATATCGACTGAGATTTCTTTTTCCCTGATGGGCATCTCTTGGTAAATTCTTAATAACTTTGGGTTAAGAGTCAAGAATTTCCTGATGTGTGTGTGGTCTTAGTTCTTTAGGCTATTTTTTAAAAATATGTTTGCATTGATTTCAGAGAAGAAGGAAGAAGGAGAGAGAGAGAGAAAAACATGGGTGATGGGAGAGAATCATTGATTGGCTGCCTCCTGCATGCCCCCTACTGGGGATGGAGCCCGCAACCCAGGCATGTGCCCTGACCAAGAGTCAAACTGTGACCTCCTGGTTCATAGGTTGAAGCTCAACCACTTAGCCATGCTGGCTGGGCTTGGATTGATTCTATATAGAGAGAAAGCAACTGGAACTTCAGGAAAGAAGCCTGCTCTCCCACTGTTTTTTGCATGCCAAAAACTTACATTATTAGTCATTTCTCTGGATTATATCCTTGCAAATCTTAACTGAACTGACCATATGAATTTAACTTAGTACAAAATCAGATCCTAAGAGAATAGGACAAAGAAAAAGGTAGGGTTGGGGGTAGGTAGGTTTAAGTGCAGGTAAAGCCTAGGATTCAAGATGCTTTGTAGTAGTACTACAAAACAAGTGAGAGATACTAGTTTTGAAGGACAGGCTTTATCTTTTTGTTTGTTTGTTTTAAAACATGTTTTATTGATTTAAGAGAGGAAGGGAGAGGTAGAGAGAGAAACATCAATGATAAGAGAATCATTGATCAACTGCCTCCTGCATGCCCCCTACTGGGGATTGAGCCCACAATCTGGACATGTGCCCTGACGGGGAATCAAACCGTGACCTCCTGGTTCATAGGTTGATGCTTAACCACTGAGCTGCACCAGATGGGCTACTTTTTAAGTCTGTCTAGTTATTGCTCATTTTTTGCTATGTAGAAGAACCATTAAAAGTTCATCCCTAAAAGAGAAAAACCTTATCTCTTTAGTCACTGAAATGGGAGACAACTTTAAAATCATGACCTTTATAGACTAGGTCTATTATTGGACTTCTATTGAAGACCAGCTCTTGCTCACTATAGCATTATATTATATAAACATTTGACTTATTAAGAGTAAAAAGATACATAAGATATGTTTATCTTATCACTTGGCTAATGTTTTATTATTTTGTTTGTATGAAAAATTTACAAGGTCAATTTTTAAACAAAACATATTAGAAAATAAGAATTGGGCTTTGAGGAGCTATTTTTCCAAGTGAAATGAAGAGATGTCACAGTTCAATAAGGTAGTTGTTCTATATAAAAAGTGCACAAATGAAAGGAATGCTATACCCAGCAGAACTGTGGTATCTATGCAATGGCAAAGATGCAGCAGTTTCTGAGTTAAAACTCAGCTCTTCACCATTTCCTAGATTATTTATAAAATAATTTTGTTTCAAAAATAACTGTAAACATCTAACCATTCCCCCCTTTTATGTGATTTTTCCACCTAGGTGTCCAGCAGGAGGAAATCTTATCTTTCTTGATACCATTTGCTTTTATCTTATTTTTAATTTTGGTAATAACTTGTCTGCTTGTGTCTAAGCAAAAAACTTTACAGAAAATGGTAAGTTGTATAACATTATAATGCTCACTCTGGGACAGTAGATAACAAAAATACGTCCTGCATTTAGGACTGATGGAACTACATTTTATGATTTTGCCTGCACACTCTGGGTATACAATTGATGTATGGATTGTGATAATGTCTTCAGAAAATACAATTTAAAAATTAACCCTAAAAAGTTACATTTTGGGGTGGATTTACTTTTGCTGAAATAAAAGAATAATGCTTTAGAAAATGAAACACTATTTACCTTTAGATTAGGGGAAACACAAAGAAAGAGTTACTGGAGAAAAGAAAGGATAGAATGACTTAAAATGGACATACTCTGAAATATATTACTAATATACCATAGGCAAAGGATCACAGAAATTCAAAACCAGGGTGCCTAACTTTTAAGAGCTCATTTTGTAGTTGAGGGAGATAAAATTCATACAAAAATATAACCTGCATTATGAGCTGATGTTAGATGATTGCTGTTTGAGTTGTGCAGATAATGTAACAGAATTTCAGAAGGTGGATTACTGTGAGTTGGAGGGATTTCAGGAGGAATTGTGACTTCGAGGAAAATATCTCAAAGTCAAGTCTTTTAAAGATAAAGAGAACTGTGAATGTGTATGAAAGGTTTCACTTTATTTCTCTGCTGAATGCTTTTTTTTGCATATTCCCGTGAATTATTAAGTCAAATAGTTTGTGTTATTAATGACTATTTGTTGATAATGAAGCTCTCTTTTAATTTCAGATTTTGCAGAAAAAACAAGAAGTTTTTCCTCGTCAAGAGACAATCTGTTGACTCAGTCATTTCGTCTTATGGACAAATGTTAACGATGAGTCTTATTGAACTGAATTTTCTCTACAAGTGTTGAATAAATCTGATTATAAAGGCATTGTTGTATTTAAGTATTTAGAGCACTCAAAGCCTCAACTAGCAGCAAATTTTCTAGATTCTGTTCACATGGTTTTTCCTTATTAATCCATGGTGAGAGTGCTGCACATACAGAAGTCAAGGGATGGGTCAGATTCTATTCAGTGATGTATTAAATGTTAGCAGCAGAAATATGGCACCAGGCATTAACCTCAGTTCTTGAGTTCTGGCTAAGAAGAAAGAATTCAGAGCCAATATTCAAATTATAACAGAAAGTTTATTTAGAGTATCACAGGAGTAGTAGAAGGGCCTTTGGCACTTAGGAGAAAGAGGGAGAGAGATAAGAGCTTTGGACATGCCCCAGAAGAGAGAGAGTGCCTGTGTCCTGGGGAAGATGGGGGCGAGGAACCACAGGGTATGCTCCATAGAGAGAGCCATGCTGGTCCTTCATCCTCAGGGCTTTTATTTGAGGTCTCAGTGGAGGATCTCAATAGAATAATCATCAGCTTTCCAGGTGTGTCTCCTCAAGTCTTTGTCTCCACTGATTGGGTGGCACTAGGGGAGGGGATCATTAGTCAATGAAGCTGGTCCTGGTGTCAGCCACAGCAACTCTCCACATGGTTTTGCTGCTTTACTGGGCCTGGAGCTGAAACAGAGCTAAGGCCTAGATATCATCTCCAGTGGCTAATGCTTAAGGGAGTGGTTGCCCGTTGCTAGGCACCCAGGCTCTCCACCCTGGTGACCTTCTTCACCTGGCCCATCTTTCCTGCCCTGCTCATGCCTATATAACTGCCCACTGCATTAATAATACAATGTGATGTTGCAATTTCAACTAAGCCATAGAGATAGTGTCCAACCTTGAAAGGTTGAGAGTCTAATTTTTTTAAAAAATTGCAGTTGAAATGACAGTGTTCACCATGAATAAGGTTGTTTGCCTTTATTAACAACCTGTAGAGAGGATTCATCAGAAGAAGTTTTAAATACATTTCCAGTTTAAAGTATGCTTCACATTTAATGAAATAAGTGAGAGGAATGCCGTGCATAAAAGGCTGAAAATAATAAAATGACTAAATATCATATTTGAAAAATTCAAATGTCACAAACTACACAATAAAAGTTTGGGAGTGAAACGCGAAAAATTGAACTGGAACGTCCTGAATTCCCGGGTTCTTGTCTCGATGGTTTCGAAGATTGAAGCCATGACAAAAGGTGATAGGTGAAAAGTACAGAAACTTTATTGCAAGCAGGCACTACCTCTAAAACCTAATTCTAAATTCTAAGCCTAAGACTCTGTCCCTCCTGGACAGACAGAGGGGCCCCTGAGAAGGGCGATCACTGCTTTTTTTGTCTTGAGGCATTAAATAGGCTGCAGTTCTTTGTCTGAACCTGACCTCTTCTTATTGGTCATTGTACTACATAGAATTAGTTTTCAAAGCTCACAGCCCACGTGGTGTCCCCCATTTTATCTCTCCCTTATCTTGTTGGTGGGAGTCACTGTTGATTTATCTTATAGCTCTCCTAATTGTGTTGGCAGAGAAAGCCTTATCTTATGGCCCTTGCAGTTACTCAGGTCAGGGCTACTTTTGGCCTAACTTATGGTCACTTTAATTGCTCAGGCCTGAGATGCCTTTTGGTTTATGGCTGTCTTTAATTGCACGGGCCAGATATATTCCTATTTGCCTATTCCATTTCTCTACTCTCTGTACAAGTAAGATGAACACCCTGGCATCTTCAAATCTCCATTATGAATTCCTTCTCTATGGACCCCTTTCATTTCTAAAACTTTCTAAACTTGCCTAATTAAACTAACTAGCTAACCCTTTTAGTCTCCCCTCTGATTAGGAAACCCCAACTGCTGTTGGGGACAAGAGATGCTGGTCTTTCTGACTACTTCCTGCTGACAAATGGACATTTGAGGCAGCAGCTAGGGTCCCATCAGAGGTGGGCAATCTAGGGTCCATGGAAGAAGGAATCAGTGGCCTCCATCTGTGGTTTCATTGGGAGGACCATCTGTAGCTTCAGGGTTTCTAAACTTGAGGATATGAAACATACCAAAAGGTGAGACAGGCGATGGTCAAAGATGAGTAATAAGAAAGTATGCACAGAGGGCCAAGAAAAGGCTCTAACTAGCCTTTTAGGATGGTGTTATTTCTTTAATTTGTTTCTAAATTTCTGGGAAGAGAGATTGTGAGGCCTTTTCCTTTCAGTCAGGCTGCTTGTTGGGGGATTCAGTTGTTCATTCCTTTACCTCCTTAGAGGGTTTTGTGTAGATGCAGCAAGAAGTGTTAATCATGGCACAGACCTTGCCCTGTTCAGCTAGTAGATAATCGAGGGCTTCTTTGTGAGTAAGGACTATGTGTGCTAAAGAATCTATAGACCTTTGAATGTCCCTAAAGTTTTGGCTAGTATTCTCAGAAGCTTGAGAGATAGCTCTGGTTAGGTTGGTGGTAGTGATCTGCATAGGAGGTAAAGGAAAGGGCTATAAGTAGGAGCATTTTATGGTGTCTGTGTTCCAGCAAAGGCAGAAAAGGTCTCCTCCTGGTACCAGCCTAGGGTTCCAATGACACTCATAAAAAGACAAAATAAGCACAATTAGAAAGATGAAGACAATGATTATCCAGAAATACCAGAGCATATTACTTATTTGGTACTCACTGGCTCTTTAGGATTCTTTCGAAAGAGAAGTTTTAGGTCCTCCAGAGGCTCACACGAGTAGAAGTCCGATGATTCAGTGGATGGCAATACAGCTTCATCCTCCTCCCGTGCTGGTATTCAAGGTTTTACTCCAGACAGATGGATCCAGGAGTTGATGTTGCCTACCTGTTGGGAGACTTAAAGCTGGGGCCTGTAAAAGGGCCCTTTTTAGTTTAAAAGTTTGCTCAGTCTTGGAGTTTCCAGACGAAAACAGAGAGGCTGTCCTTTTGGGGCCTCCTCGATCAGTTGGTAAAGAGAGAGTGTTACTTCTCTACAGCTGACAATGGGGTGAATGGGAATTACTACTTCATTTACTAGTTGTAAGTCCTGAACTAGTTCTTATTCCCTATTAGGTTTTTGTATTCCTGAGATGGGAGCATTGTACAGACCATGACATAGTTTCAATAAATCTTGGGCTTCTAAAATAGATTGTCTATTATAATCCTGAGTCCTTCTCTAGCTTCAGGCTTGAGACAATATTGCCTCTGATGTATGGATATGAGCCTTTCTATATGATCAGGAATGCATGAGAAAGGAGCACCTTACCCCAGCTGTACCCTTTAGGGGTGCAGAGAAAAAAAATACTTCTCTATCTGCTTCCTAGACACGCCTGTAACAGCTACAGCCTCTGAGGATGATTTGCCAGGGTTTGAGAGGACAGAGAAAGTGGCTCCAGCATCGAGGAGGAAATTAATTTCATTACCCCCAATTGTCAGGCTTACCTGGGGCTCCTGGGTGAAGATGACAGTCCTATGAGGAGCCAGGTTGGGAGACACTGGGCCCCATCAGTCCTGTTGGGCCAGCTGGGTGGGCAGACTGGCTTCCAGTGGTTTTCTTGACAGACAGGACAGGGCTTCGGGGTTCACCACGCCCCCTGGGGTAATTCCAGTGCCTATGTCTAACATGTCTGTAGTTGTAACAGGTGACTGAGGCTGACTGCCTGCCTACCTTTGGGTCCTGACTGGAGGCTCTTAGGCTTGTCCTGGTCTTTCTTGTTTCTCCTCTTTTCCTCCTGCTGGTCTTTATTACAGAACACAGAGGTGGCAGCTTTCAGGAGATTCTCTAAAGTACTCTTGGGACCAATTGCCAATTCTAGCAACTTTCTCCTGATGTGTGGGGCCATCTGAGTGATAAATTTGTCCTTTAAAATGAGTTGTCCCAATTCTGAATCTGGGATAATGTTGGTGTACTTAACCAATGCCTCCCTGAGCCTTTCTAAAAAAGCCGAGGGGTTTTCGTCAGCTCCTTGATTAATGGTGGTTAGTTGCAGTGGTTCTCAACCTTCTGGCCCTTTAAATACAGTTCCTCATGGTGTGACCCAACCATAAAATTATTTTTGTTGCTACTTCATAACTGTAATGTTACTACTGTTATGAATCGTAATGTAAATATCTGATATGCAGGATGGTCTTAGGCGACCCCTGTGAAAGGGTCGTTCGACTGCCAAAGGGGTCGCGACCCACAGGTTGAGAACCGCTGGTTTAGAGTAATTAACAGGCTTTGTTTTATTACATCTGAGGCCTTCTATAATATAGAGCTGGCAGTGTTTTATTTTCTCTCTCTTGGTTTCAGGGTTCTATTGAGGGTCTATAAGAAGGACTGCTTCCTGTCCTATTAAGAAATTCCTTTTCTTTTCTCAGAGTCCTTTATTCCCTGTGCATAAGTAATAAAATATTCATTCCTAAGTTCTTTTACTTTTTTTAAAAATATAGTTTGCTTTTCAGTGGCTGAGAGGGTCAGGTTTAATGTGAGCATGACGTCTCTATATGAGAGATTAAACATTTGAGTGAGGTTTTGGAAGATTTTAATTATATTTGTCAGGGTCTTCCGACAACTTTTCTAAATCACTTTTCATTTGTCTCATGTCCCGGAGTGAGAAGGGGATCTGGGCTAAAGTACGACCAGACCCTCCATCTGTCTTGGGGCAAGTTAAGGTTGGTCCAACCCTGGGCGGGGGTGTGGCCTTCACCTTTTTCTTTGGTGGATTTTGGGTTATTATTGCCAGGAGCGAGGGATCAAGTTTACAGTTCCTGTATAGCTATGGCTTGTCCCTTAGAGTAAAGAAAGCCTGGACAAATGGAACTTCTGACTACTTCCTATCCTTCCCATCCTTTCTACAGAAAAGATCTAACTGCAGGATGGTGTTAAAATTAAAACTTCCCTCTGGGGGCTAGCTTTCCCCATTCGCTAGTTGGTGCTGGGGCCAAGCATGGGTACAAAAGTAAATCAGGTACTTTTCCTTCATTGCTTGTGGGTGCGAAGATGTGCTTCCTATTTGTAAGTAAAACAACAACAACAACAACAACAACAAAACACACGTG